CCTAGCTCCACACTAGCTCCTATGAAGAAAATTAACTCTCTCCCAGCCAAAACCAGCACACGTGGGCTCGGTCGCAGGAGAGTGTTACCACTTGGTACCTTTCCTGCAGGGCCAGCTATTGGATATAGATAAAGTAACTTTTATTAGGAGGGGTAATCTAAGTGCTGGCACCAAATACGTAAGCTAGGTTACAGGGATAGACGTGATTGTTCAGGACTAGCCTAATTTGTCGCTGAACCTTATTGCCTTCTTTTTAGGTGAAAGAAGAGTGAAATTTACTTGATTTGAAACACAGAGGCATGGATGATGTTGTGCCTTTTCTCTCTGTAGTCATTTGGGACCAATGCTATTGTTATATCTTTGCTAAAAGCAAATATTTTTATATTGCTGAATCTTCATCCATATTAATTAGGTTGTTATTTTCATGCCTTTATATGATAGCTGCCTGGCTTTCTGTGCTAAATCTGTTATTTATTTATTTACTTGAACCTGCCATTGGAAGAAAAATGGAGGAATGTTAAATATGTTCCTGTCCTCCAGCTGAGGTGAATGCAAACTTGGCTTGAATTTCAATCAAATCCTTAGAGGTGCTCCTTGCTTTGAGGAAGGATATAATCTGCTTGGCTGTGATGACAAAGAAATAAGGTGTCTTGGAGTCATGTTGGGCAGAAATTTGAGAGATTTAATTTAGTGTCTTGCTCCATGATAAGTTTTTTCCATGAGCTTGGACAATTAATTTGAGACTATGCTTATGTCTGTTCTTTATCTGTAAAGTGTGAGTAATTGCACATCTGTTAACTTGGAGGAACATTTTGAAGATAAAGTGGATTTAAGATTATGTGTATAATACCCATAATACCTGTGTGCAGCTAAAATATTAAATAGCTGATTAACTGAACTGCTGCTTATGGGTTTTCTGCTCTAAGAAGGAAAATGCTGAGTAACCTCATTAGCTATGATAGTTATTTCTGTACTTCGCTGGTGTAAGTACGAACAGGATTTAGGCCTCTCAATTTCCCTTCGTACAGATCATTGGAAGAAAAATATAATAGTAGGTCTTAGCCAGCTAAAGCTGAGATTTGGGGTTCCAGTCAAATGCTGTCTCATTAGGAATCC